TTGAACCGCCAGCCTTCTGGTTAGCAGTCAAGTGCCTCAGGCACTATGCTACCAGAGCTCCCCCATTAGCCATTAGAGAGATGCAAATCAAAACAACAATGAAATACCATCTTGCTCCAGCACTAGTAGGAAATTTCAACAAGACACAAAATAACAAATGCTGGCAAGTATGCAGAGAGATTGGCCCTCTCATAGACTGCTGGTGGGACTGTAAAGTGGTAGGTACAACTACTGTGGAAAGCAGTATGGTGATTCCTTAAAAAGTTGGAATTTAAAATACCAATTGACCCAGCCATTCCATTACTAGGTATAGATCCTAAAGAAGTGAGAGCCATAACAAGGATAGACATATGCACACCCATGTTCATTGCAGCACTATTTACAATAGCCAAAAGATGGAAGCAACCTAAGTGTCCATCAACTGAAGAATGGATAAGCAACTGTGGTACATACATACAATGGAATACTATGCAACCCAAAAGAATAATGTTGTATCCAGCAAACGCCACATAATGTGGATGAACTTGGATGATATTATGCTGAGTGAAATAAGTCAATCACAGAAGGACAAGTATTTTACTAGTCCATTATTGTAAAAAGTCAAGGAAAGGTTTATATACGGAAGGAAATTTTCTTTGTTGGTTACCAGGGGTGGGAGAGGAGAGGAGGAACACTGTTCGATGGATAGAGACAAGTATTGATTTGGGTGAAGAGAAGGGCAATGTACTAAATGTGAGTGATCAACCTGGTGGCATTGAGGAAGAAGAAAACATAGAGTGGTACATGGGAGGTACAGACCACAAAGATGAACCCTTTCACTTATATAGTACTGCGTTGTCAGTGAAGACAAACATTGATCTATGGGTAGATAGATGGGTGGACAGTCTGAGCTATTAGGTATGTCTGTGCAGGGGGGAGTGTGCCCAAGACCATGTATAGGGTTGGCAGATAACGTTTCTACAAGTGTATTGGTATGTTCTGTAAGAATTCCCAGGTATGTAGTAGAGCTGACAAGTGATAAGATAGTAGTCACTTCTTAGCCATAACCAGCTAGCTACCCAGGGGGCGCTAGTCGTTGGACCTTGGGCTTGGTACCATAGTCCCAGGGGCCATCAAGCTCAAGTGGCATAACATACTACACAAAAACATTGTTCCACGTCCTACTGTGGCAAGTAGCAACTGGGATCTTAAAAGCTTGCAAGCAGCCATCTAGATGCACCGATGGGTCTCTCCTCGTCCAGAACAAAGAAGAATGAAGAAAACTAAAGACTCATAGAAACAATTAGTCCAAGCAACTGGTACACCATGCGATCTGAAGCCTATATGACTATGAGACCAGAAGAAGTAGATGGTGCCCGGCTACCACTGTCAACCACTCAGAGGGGCAATCTATGTAGGAGATCCTGGATAGAGAGGAAGAATGGTGTGGAACAAAACTCAATCATTTGGGGAAAACAAGGGGACCAGGTTTGCTGGTCTGATAGAGGCTGGTGCAACCACTGAGACT